AGTATAAAAGCCCAAAGTTGATATATGGCCACGTTATCAGACTAAACTGTTTTTATCTACCTTATTGATAAACCTGCTGTACTGCTTATGCCCGTTAAGAGAGCATAAGGACAAACGCAGGCGCTTTTCCCAATTACGAGCAGTGGGCCCACCGTGACGGGCGATATAATCACGAGCCCCTTTGGCGGTCTGGCAAAGGCCGTATACGAATGTTGGGGAGGGGATGGGGTCCCCGACGTCGACAGACCACTTGACTGGGTCCCTAAACCGCTTCAATTTGATGCTTACCTCAGAACTAAGCCTTGAAAGAGAGGACGGACCTGCGATCCTCTCCAAGGCTTAGTCCTGAAAAGCAAACCCAGCCCTTTTGGCGGAGCTGCTGGACCAGCTGCACCACTTGCGTCAGTACTCTCCTATCGTACCAACCGAGTTGAAGTACCGTCGACCGTCGGGGACCCCATCCCCTCCCCAACATTCAGCATACGGTCCCCAGCAGAAACGCCAAAAGGGCTGGTTTGCTTACCTCCTCATGCTGCATTCGTAGGCAGCACTTTCTTGTTCAGGAAGGGAACCACTCGAACTATTTCTTTGAATGAAAAGCTCTTTTTTCACATCACATTCATTTCAAGTATCATTGGTCCAGCGCAGTTTTGTTTTGTCATACACGAATACCTTGCTCTTCGCCCATTCCAAAGCCCTTTTAATTGGGGAAAGCTGAATTTCCATCATTTTCCTTTGCTAATTCTGCCCTTTCACTACGGCACTGATTTGTCGTAACTACGGTAGCATCTTACCCCTTGTGAACGGAGATTGACAACTTTAAAGGACGAATTCACGATGAAAAAGCAACCCATTTCAAATTAACCTAGGGATGGTGAGTGGTACACGAAAGAAGGAAGAACCATGAGAAACGGCCCAGAACCCGAGAAATGGTACCCCTTCCTTGCCCGTTGATTCGAGCATTGATGCGACTCTCATCGCTGTGCCCTCTTCAACACTACGCTCTCTCAGCTATCTAATCACTCGCCACGTATTGAACTACGGCGAGTGATCAGATGATCGGTGGGCGGAGATCGCCGGACCCGCCAGCTTTGAGGCATGATAGGTCGCCGAGGTCAAATTTTTCCATGCGAATTGCGCGTCAGTTCGCACCCTCAGGAGGTCCGTGGGTCCCTCAACTAGGTCAGTTTCCCTTTCTTCGACCTTCATTCTAATCGTGAATTCCTCCTTTAAGGTGCTCAGTAAAAGATGGAGCGAAACGCTGGAATTGACACGAGGTTCTTTTATATACGTGGTTGAAGCTCTACCTTCTACTTACCTCCTGAAAAACTACCTTCTAAGCGTGTGATCAGAATAGTGGAGGGAGGAACACTGGCGTCATCTTAGAAAACAAAGCCGACTTAGAACTGATTGAAAAGAATTTTCGTACAACAATAGTACAGCAACATTTCACCACTCACGATATTGGGCCGCTAGCTGAAGGCTGTCGAAGCACAAAACAGTTCAGCATATCCTCTCTCTAGTTTCATCTAGTCTCTCAAATATGGCCTCGAAGACTTGTTCAGGAGTCTTACTGTTTTCAAGTCCACCAATTTACCACTACGGATGCAATTCATCTACTTGCTTGTGCTTCCCCTTGTCTCAGCAGCAGTGTTTTCTGAAAAGGTATGTTGATGTAGATCAATGTGGGAAGCATGTTTTCTTACTGAATAGTCTTATAGTTATGGAATGCTTTCAATTCATGAACAAAATTACTGGGCGGAAGGGAGAAGATAAAGCTGTGAATAACAAAAGAGAAAGTCGGATAAAATCTGATGAAACAGTGCAAAAACTCTGCAGTCCCTTGGCTCGAGAGGGGGTAAGTTCTCCTCCGTATCGGGGGATACAATGCCACCCTCTTAATTCTTGTTCATGCTTTGGTGTACTATGTTTCATCCAGAGGTTCGCCTGGCTGAGTCCAGACGAGGGGGATGAGTTCTGTGGATAAAGGACAGCAGAGTAAAAGATAAAAGGATAAAGCATTTGCCGTTGATCAATCCCTTTTTGGGATGCGGCACGCATTCTACTTCCATTTGTACATTCGTAGTGGCGTTTGAATGCGATGTGGCCTATACAATGACTTGCGGGGGCCAGCCGATGTACAAGTCAGTGTTTTTATCCTCCCAGACAAGTCTGGTACCAATTAACCGACCCCGGAGGGATGGAAGGCTTGGTTGGCCCGGGCGACTCACGACCCAGGATTTGATCCCGGACCGCTCGCGTGGTAAGCGTGCCACTTGTCACTACCACTTCCGCCCTGAGGCTCGAGAATGGGGTCGTTTTTTTTGACATGAAAGACTTCAACAATGTAAACGCTGGTGCTGTTTACTTTTATAATTACATTGTTTTTCCAGTATGGAACTACATGTGTTCCATTATTGCTCATATAGAATAGTCGTATTTTTCGAATTTTTCAATAGGAGGGGGAACGCGAGGAAAAAGTTCAGCGTAGTTTTTACGCGATAGAAAAGTTTTCACTAAACTTAGAGGTTCCGAAATTCTTGCGAGATTGGAAGAAATAATAAATAGAAGAGAAATACGAGTTTCGAGCAAAAGTTTTTCAAATGTATACTTCCTCAACATGGAACAATCTATAAATTCATAATGAGACGGCTTATGTTTCAGGACGCGACCCAAGTTGAAGCAATCGGGCCGATCGACCATAAGAAGGCAATCGTCGAAGAGCTGGACAATTCCATCGCAACCTGGGTCAAAAGAGGAGAATTCCACCAAACGTCAAGAAATCGTTCAAACCGGCAAGATGGGGCACATACGCATATCCATATAGTTACTACAACCCTTATAGCTATTATCGCAATTATGGATGCTGGCCGTATTACACCTACTACACCTATTGCTGACGTGCTTCTATTCTAACATTTCCCATGAAAAATGCGAAAGGAACTTTAGCACCTTCATGAATGCGATGGTTCTATTGATGGTATAAACGATTTTGAAAGCATTCTCTGGCTTTACACGAATATGATCGATAAATGAGGAAGTGCAATCCCATAAAAGGTGAAAGTACTCACTGAGGAAAGCGCAGACACACAATGGCGTGAATATGAGCAGGGACAAGCAGGATGAGCTACGTGCCAAGGGAACTTTGGCAATTATTGTCCTTTCAGCCCCTGCCATATGAATACAGTCCCCTCCTTAAACCTCACAACCCTCCCCTCTACCAACCCTCTTCATCGATTATGTCCGTAGTGTCGTTGAGCCTGGTACGACATAACACAATTCCGCCTCTGCCATCAGAACTTCAAATCAGAAATTTGCAACCGAAAGGATAAAGGTATAAGTTACTGCTTGACAACAAGTTTATGCGATTTGCCTACACTTGATCCATGTCGCTACTCCAAGTCCCTAAATAAATAAAGGATAAAGCATTTGCCGTTGATCAATCCCTTTTTGGGATGCGGCACGCATTCTACTTCCATTTGTACATTCGTAGTGGCGTTTGAATGCGATGTGGCCTATACAATGACTTGCGGGGGCCAGCCGATGTACAAGTCAGTGTTTTTATCCTCCCAGACAAGTCTGGTACCAATTAACCGACCCCGGAGGGATGGAAGGCTTGGTTGGCCCGGGCGACTCACGACCCAGGATTTGATCCCCGGACCGCTCGCGTGGTAAGCGTGCCACTTGCCACTACACCACTTCCGCCTCATACTCATGACTCTCGGGAGGGGGAGTGCCTTTCAACTAGTATACAGTACCCCTTCTTCGACTACGACCTTCTTGTGGAATCCTGCTTGATAAGTACTGCCGTGTTATTGCATTTGATGGAACAATAGAACGTCAACAGCCAGCCAACTCCATATATAGAAACTGCCTAAGAAATTTTAAATAATGCAAAA